AAAAACCCTAGATATGTCTGTGCAGGAAAATCCCATTCGATAACCAGTTTCTGAAATGCTAACAAACATGCAGTGTTCAGAGTAAAATCTGTCTACATGCATTGAGCTGCTGCCATGTGATTGGCTGACTAGATAATTGCATTAATGAGCAGCTGAACAGGTGTAACTAATAAAGTTGCTCATCAATGTGTCTCTTCATAATATTTTATTCAGTCGTTTTCTGTCTCATTTAGCAGACTAAATAACTTTATTAACTAACTTTCTGTGTTACAGTTTGTACGATGCTGTGTCATCTCTGCTGAAGAACAAGATTCACAGATTGCCTGTAATTGACCCGCTGACGGGGAACACGCTCTATATTCTCACACACAAGAGGATTCTCAAGTTCTTGAAGCTTTTTGTAAGTCCCCCGGGGCTCCTCACCTCCTCACCACACTGCAGCTGCATTAAGTACTTTAAATCATCTGCCATCTTCATTTTTGTTTTGAATAGAGAAGAGTCTGCAGTTAAGTAGTCTGGGAATATCTCATTTCCTTAACTAAAACACCCACAGTTTTTATTCAGTTATCTAAAATGCTTGTTATGTTTTCAGATAGCAGAGATGCCAAAACCCTCGTTCTTGAGGCAAACTTTAGAAGAACTGAATATCGGGACTTTCAAGAACATAGCAGTGGTCCGTGCAGACACACCGCTCTACACAGCTCTGGGTATTTTTGTTGAGCAGAGAGTGTCAGCGCTCCCTGTTGTTGATGACAAAGGTATGAGGACTGACTGAAATGATGCCCCTGTTGGTTTTCCATTAACCATCTCAGAAATCTTAAATTTTATGCTCCATTGTGCTGTGTCTGTCTCGCAGGTCGAGTGGTGGACATTTACTCAAAATTTGATGTTATAGTAAGTTATAAGCACTCACTGCATGCTGTTTAGGTGTCTCACCACCATCTGACAGGGCACATTGTGCTGTCTGTGACACCATAAATGCACTCTTATGATGACAGTAAATCATGAACAATGCATTAGAAGCATCATATAAGAGCATGTCTTTTTACAGAATCTAGCAGCAGAGAAGACTTACAACAACCTGGATGTGACGGTGACCAAAGCCTTGCAGCACCGCTCACAGTACTTTGAAGGAGTGCTGACATGCAACAGGCATGACACCCTCGAGGCCATTATCAACAGACTGGTGGAGGCTGAGGTGAGAAGAGGATGTACACATTATTTGTTCACATTATCTACTGCATGTGTCAATCATCCACTATTTAAGCTCCTTATCATGCATAATCTGAGTAGCAGATTTTGAGCTTTAACTTTCAGTGTTTTGTCACTGCAGCTGTAGGAAAAATTAAATATTCATTAAAAGGGGACTTATTATGCCTTTCATTATGTTCTCTTTCCATCTATATAATATAAAAGTTTAAAATATTGAGGCCAGTTTAGGTAAAAGTATTCTCTCATGCTCTGTTTCAGA